ACTTCAGTCATTGAAATGCAATCTGCTTTAATACAATTCTGCCTAGCAACACGTTGAGAACTTAGTGTCCACACAAGAGTTTGGCAACATAATAAGGAAGAAATAGTCATCTTTTAGCTATACCTATGTTTGGGAATGTTAGCATAAGTTGGTTTGCTTTGACTCGCTCACTAAAAATAACATTTTCTCGCAGAGAAAAGTTCAGCTTCTGGATTAGTCAAAGGGATAAAAATGGGCTGGTAGTACCAAGAGCAATTACAAGTGAAGTTCGCAATAATTCATTATTATTTTGGTTTCTATACTAGGACATTATGCAGGACAGGTACTGTAACTACAGTTCAAACATACAGGTATCCATTTGATTTTTTCACAAAATTAAGAAATCCTGAAAGCTTAACTTAAATAGTGTCAAGTGTCAGTGACAGCTATGTGAGGCATGAAACTGAAAGAATTTATTTAGCATAAATAATTTGTTACATTAAAGATGTCTGTAAATACAGCACAGTTAGATTTTATATGTGCTTGCAAGAGAAAGCAGACACCTTAGCTGACCTTTTCTTCTACTAATATGATGAACCATTTCCAATATAAATTAGTTTATCTTTACAATAACTTACCACAGTTCGTATTGGTGAAAGCCATGTAACAATAGATATAAAAAGGTTCAGTAAACAGCATTCAGAAGGCAGCTATAGCCTTACTGTTTGGGAGCAAGACAGATTTTGTTCCCTTTGTGCCTTGCCTGTCCGCTGGTCATGACCTGCTTTCCACAACATGCACTGGTGGAGAAAGGGGAGATGATCTGATGTTGCTCAGACCAAAAACTGTACAGGCTCTCTCCTGGTTCTCCTTTCATTGACCACTGTGGCTACCCCATATCTACACCAAGTTTTGACTTCCTGGCCCTTTATGTGAAATTTGGTTCAGATACTTTCTTGATCCCACTGTATTAAAACTCACAAAAAGGAACATATGGGTAATAAAACAACACAGATTTCTTACAATCAACAAAGACCCAATATGCTCTCTTGAACTATAATGATGTCAGGTTTGTGTAGCCTGTTTTGTTTACAGACTTCCTATTTCCCTCACATTTGTTCAGATTACTGTCTGAATATCTTGTATTACTCATCTCTATTTACATTCAGTTCAATAACTTGTCCTCCATATTCTGCCCCTACAATTCATTATTGGGATTACTATATATATTTTTGGAGTCTGTTTCTGTCTGTGTAAACAATGGCAAAGGGGAAAGGCTATACAGTGGAAAATGCTGCTTTTAAACTGAATGCTTCTTTGCTTATTTCAAGCTTCCATGATGTGCTGGTTTTGGCTGGGACTTTATTTTCTTAGCTAGTATGGGCTCTGTTTTGGATTTGTGCCGAAAACAGTGTTGATAATACAGAGTTGGTTTTGTTATTGCTAAGCAGTGCTTATACAGTCAAGGCCTTTTCTGCTTCTCACACCACCCCACCAGTGAGTAGGTTGGAGTTGCACAAGAAGTTGCAAGGGGACACAGCCGGGACAGCTGACCCCAGTTGACCCAAGGGATACCTACCATATAACATCATGCTCAGCATACAAAGCTGTGGGAAGAAGAAGGAAGGGGGGGATGTTCAAAGTTATGGCATTTTGTTTTCCCAAGTAACTGTTACGTGTGACAGAGCTCTGTTTTCCTGGAGATCACTGAATATCTGCCTGCCAATGGGAAGTGGTGAACGAATGCCGTGTTTTGCTTCGCTTGTGCATGCAGCTTTTGCTTTAAGCTGTCTTTATTTCAACCCACAAAATTTTTCACTTTTACCCTTCTGATTCTCTCCCCCATCCCACAACGGGGGAGTGAGCAAGTGGCTGTGTGGTGCTTAGTGGTGCTTAGTTGCCTACTGGGGTTAAACCACAATACATGGGGTTACAGATGAATACGCATTCCATCAAACTCAAATGACGAAGGGTAAGTGAACAGTCACCCTTGTCTCTGCTGCTCATTCCTTCCACTGCCATCTACTTTATATCCTATATGGCTGAAGAACTGAGAAAGGCAGCATATTGTACAAACTTGTACAAACTCACCATCATTATTTTAATTCACATCATAAAATCCAAAAGTGTTCTAGCTCCTTTATGGAACAAATGATAAAGTCTCTGTTCAAAAGCACACAACTGCATTTTAGAATCCTTGTAATCAAAACAATTAACAGCTATGAAGGGATCATGAGTGATAAAAACAAGTTAAATAAATAGTAACTCCTACTTCATGCATCTTTTGACAGTTTCCCTAAGTGTAACCTTTAAAATGTCTTGTGTCATACAACTTTTTCTGCTGTTTTAATGTACATAAGCATGCAATGATCTTAAAGGGGCTATCTGTAAGAGTATTCACCCATGACAAAATTATTACTTGCAATAAGAATTAGTTCTTATTCAGCACTTTTTATCAACATATCTCTGTTCTACACAGGGTGTCTTTGTAAAAATAAGAAATATGAATTACAGAATAATGTGATTTGACTATTTGCATTTTGTGGGATTTCACCATTTTCTTCAGAGGGATATTCATTCCATTGCTTAATAGGTCTTCTAATTATAAAGTGCCTTACTAGTTAAGCAACACTGAAATTAAAACTAATTATTTCTCATCTTGCCGTGGAAAACACCCGCAGCATTTTTAATTGCAGACCTACACAAATCATCACAACAGTTAATTACTGAATTCTCCACAACTCAATTGTGTTTCCCATTGAGGGATCTCTGAGGGCCTTAAAAGTGTTACCATGCTTAATGTAAACAACCTGACGTACTATGGATTACTGTCAGCCTCATCCCATGAAGGCAAATGGATACCACATCTGCTGATAGTCCCCCTTCCTTATCACAAGGCCTTCCTACTTATGGGTGTAGCATTATGGCTTATTAAAAGAATTTTAAAGAAAAGCAAGCATATTTTATTTCTTTAAAATATAAATTCAAGCTAAAATACTGCATATATCCCACTGGATTAAATAGATGGTTTATGTTGGCATATCTAGATCCTTCGGACATTTATTTCCACGGCTTTATATATGTTCATATGAGAGGTCAGCTGCAAAAAAAGGTGAAAATGGGGAGCTTAAGTAAACTGGATTTTCTTTCCTGTGTTCATATAAAAGCTCTATGATTCTTTATTTCCTTTCCATATTTATTTTAGTACAGATAAGGCTAAAAGGTGGTCCTATATAAAGTGCTTTGGGATTTTTTTTAGAGACACAGTCGTGTCTTTCAGGAAGAATCAGGCCTTAAGGAGTATGATGCAGCAAAACCCATTAGACTGAAAAGAAACAGACTCTGAAAATATGGTCGGGTCTAGAATGACTAAATCTGAAAAAAAAATAATCCCAAACCCAAACAAACCAATCTACAGGATCCCTGAAGCAATAGCACATACTAAGATGGAGCCAAAGTTTAGGATTTCTATCAGCTGACATTCTGTCAGTCTTTTTTCCATGTAGGTTTCTACAGTCAACAAGAGCTAACCAGGCTGGCAGAGGAGAATGCTTCACGTTAAATGAGGAAGTACTATAAAAACATATTAGAAAGGTATAAAGGGAAGGTTCAAACATATATGAAATATAGTACCCATCTTTCTCCTCTTCTACAGCACTGCCTGAGCTTTTTCTGTTACCCCCTGGACTCCATTTCTTGGTGGTATTACTAATGGACCCTGTGATGGGTGCGCAAATGTTTAACTGGTTTTCCTTTGTAGAAAGAGAATCTGACCCTAGGGTAACTCAAAGCACTTAATTTAACTCCTGTCAGTTCTTCCTGTTTCACATCACCCATTCTTTCATAAACCAACGTCATCACAAAATTATAGCACCAAGAAATGCACTCAAGTCACACTATCACACAATACACTGGACAATAAAAACGAGGCAAGGAAGTGACCATTAACCCAAATTTCTGATGTTTCACTTATAAAATAGTTTGTTAATTATAAAGGGATATAGTTGGCAACCATTGACTATTTTCTGTAATAACTATTTTGCCTGTTTCCTTTAATTTCCTCAGTTTAGTCTTCTTTATTTTGCCCAGAATAACACCTTATAAAAGCACGCTAATGAAATGCCTCATTGGCAGCTTTGTTTTGTTTTTTCTGTCTTGGCAATGCCACTGGGAACTCAAAGAACAGAAATGACAGCACACCAGAATTTGTGATGGACTTTGAGACTCTGCATGAGGCACTCTAAAAATTCAGCACTGAAACCGCAACCTTTACTTGTGACCATAACTGTTATTTTAACAGTGTTTGATCAGAAAATGACATAAGCTGTTTGTTTTTCCACTGAATTTAAGTATTTTTAGATTAGTTTAAAATACACACATGAAAACAACATGTGAGAAGAACTTGGGAATACAGTTTTAGCTGACTAAACCTTAGAATTGTAGTTTAGAGTTATCAAAATGATCTGAATTTCTAAGAAAAGAGCATCATTTCTAGTTCACAAAAATTTGCAGAACGTGGGCAGTTTTAACCCTTATTTTATTCCAGTCTTTCCAAAGCATTGCAATAAACTTCAGATTAAAAGCGTTGCGAAGGTATACATCGATTTAAGTATGTTTCTCTCAATGTAGATTAAATTGACAAATAGATATGGAAATGTAATGTCTCTTCCCTTTCTAAATCACTAAGATACAAAAAATAGGAACTGTTAGACGATGTTATTTTCTTCTTCATCTTGAGAGGAGATTTTCATAGCTGAGACAAAAGGCTTGGATTATTGGTTATCTTATCACATTGCCTTTTTACAGAATATTCTGCCTTTAGCCAGGACACAATATAACATAAACCAAAGGAATAACGTTTAGTCAACCTACAATTATGAACTTGCAGGGATTTAAAGAGCAATGCTCAGTTAGAAATAACATCTAGCCTTTCTTGGAATCTGACCGTGACCGATGACTTCAAGAAGCTTAAGTCTTGCAAAGTTATGTAAATTATTTTAAGAATAAAAACAATCTCTTACTTGGTCCTCAAAGGAGATTGCCTGGGCAACATCTCTAGGAAATCCATCGATCACTATACCCTCTTCATCAGGGATCTGCATTAATCTTTGCTTTATCTCAGTTATGGTTGTTTCCTTACACAGAGAAAAGAAGTTATTTATTTCATATTGTAAAGGAGGTTTTCTTGATGGTGCACATTAATACAGCATGTACAAATTTTTCAAAAGTAAACATTAACACAGGATACACTGTACCTGAGGGGCCAGTTCTCCAGTAGTAATTATTTTGGCAATTAGACTCCATTTTCTATTGCTGCTTGTGCTGTGTATCTTCTTCCTTAACAATTCACCAACTGATATGTAGTTAAATCCATAATGTTCTGCTATTTTCAAACTCTGTGTTCCTTTACCACTTCCTGGGCCACCTATTGTTAATTACAAGCAAAACATTAAATTAACCTTTCATCTGAAGTACCCAAGCACATGTTAAATCTTTGTTATCATCACCAATTTTCCAACCATTATTAGAGCAAATCTCACAGTTGCATGACTTGTTACAAGCCCTTAGAAATGGCTCTCATCCACCTGATTGCAAAGGTAACAGTTTGCGAAATGAAGTAAAAAAAGGAATACAAAGCTACTTGTAAATTAAAACCAAACACACTCTTTTAGACCTGACCTCATTCTAAAGCTGCTCCTGGAAAGGAATTTTTCTTGATTTTTAGTAGAGGAACAGACAATGAACTGGTCCCTTCTTGACCTCTGTGAATCCAAAGACAACCAGATAGTCTGAAGTGTGTTCATGTCAGTAAGAATCATACTTGATTAAATGAGACAATTAAATCAATGGACTAGTCAAGAAATGGAACTAATAAAATCTGCTCCTAAATATGCTTGCATGAGTTTCTGAGGTTTTCTAATTTTAAAGTACAGAAAAATATTAAATAATCAGCTGAGATGTTTCCATAGTGATTTGGTACAAAGACTTTTATTGAACTACGCATACTTCTGGTATTGATGCTTGAAGCATCTGATAGAAAAGCAATCTGTTAGGTTCAGCTTGCTGGACAACTTGAATAAAAGAGACCCTTCAGTACAGCACAGGAAGAGTAGGTATTGAAACCACAGAAAACAGCTACATTACATAGTGAGAAATGTTGAAGCAAAGGTCAGCTGGACAGCATAATCAAGAATGCATGTAAAAAAAAATCAGACACTGTCTGAACTAAAAGGGCACACTATGATGTGAGGAACAGAGAAACTGTAACGCAGGATAAAAAAACAGGAGATTGTTTTGATTAAAGGAAATGCTTATATATAGACAAGCGTGTTACTGAACAGCATAACAAAGCAAAACCAAACAAATGTTTTTATATTAATTCCCAACACTAGTAGCTGTTTTTTTTTGGAATTGTGTGTAAGAACATTGAATTTTATTTTAACAGCCAAAGACTTGAAATGTATTTAAAATACCAATTTTCTATGAACTTAAAAAAATACAACAATGTAATGAAAGTAAATATGAATCCAATTAGCTTCTTGTTAGTAATCATATTCTTTCTTATATTATCTATTATACCCATAAACAGCTTTTAGGCATTTATATAATGAGTATAGATTTGACTGCAGGACAAGCTTTGCAGTTATTTCTTCATAACATGGTGTGACACTCTGCGCAACCAGTTTCAAACCTGTGCCCCAATATTACATGTCAGAGAGCTTTCAGCGTTACCAGTAGTCACTAGGAACTCTTCTGTATCCCGCTGCTGTGATGGTAGCTCTCCATCTGGTCTTTGTAACTTAGATTGGGACCCACTTAAAGAGAATGTGCAGGGAAACCTGTGTGTTCTTATGGTGTTCCCATACCCTCCCCACACTTTAGTTACACCCTTGGGGGAAAAAAGGTTTTAGCATTACCCAATTAGTTTAAATAATGCTTAAATCAAGCCAGGTTAAGATAAATGCAAATATAAGCATTTAATTGGAACAACCAGCTAATCAATACAGCTACAGATTTTCTTAAAACACACAAGCAAAGAAATGAAAGAAAAACTGTATCTTATCTCTGTACAGTAAAACTACTACAACTGAAAAATATTTTCCCCTCATTCACTTCACTTGCTGTTTCTCTTCTGAAAGTCATCTGCTTTCTCTGTTCTTTCAGCAGATTATGTCACGTTTTACAGCTAATCTTGCATTTCAATTCTTCCAGGTGATCTAGATGGGCTCAGTTTTTCCAGTTTGTACTCCTTTCATAGACTGTTAAGCTATCCTCTTCGTTAGACTAAAGGATGTTTCCCTTTTGCAGATACGCAAGCATCTGATATACCAGGAATAATTTCCTCCACTTAACTGGCCACAAAGCAATTCTGCTTTGGCTCTCCCCGCTCCCTCTAATGGCACGCTCAGCCTTCTCCATGACAAATGCATTTCACCAAACTTCACATTGTGTTTCATCCCTGTATGACAAAAGTTCAAACAAGATAATTCCATGTAGTTTACAGTTTATAATAGGTTCTTGATAATCTGGAAGGATAGCAGGTTTGAAGTAACTGATTCCCAATGTTTTTTTTTCTCACATGGATAAAAACAACAGCACTAAAGGTGCAGCTAATTGAGGATTGCTGCCAGTTTGTATGGAGCAAATTTTTCCAGGTGAATGAATAGGATTATTACTCCTTCCTAGAATTCACTCTGTTGTAAAGATTTCCAAAAGCAACCCTCTCTCTATACAAAGCCATGTATTGCAATCTAATGAGCATAAGATACAAATAATGTATCTTACATATGTGTGTGTTTATACATATGTGTATTGTTTATTACATAAATTTAAGCAGCTTTATTTGCTGGCAATAGGCCTAGCTACTGGAGAAAAGGGCAGTTGGTTGCAACTGTGCTTCAGAGCAAAGGGTTTATAAAACATACTGGAGCCAATGCTGTGCATAATTCCTGCAGATATAGAACTTCTAAGGAAGGAAATTCAGTTTACTTCTCCAGAGACTCAAGACACATTTGAAACAGACTGTGTTTCATCCCAGAAAATAAAGATGCAAAATATATATAGGTAATGTAGAAAATTAGAAACAGAAAATTTGACAAGGAAAATAGCATCTGCATTCCAACAACGATACAAAAGATGCCAGAAAAACCATTACTGTTACTTGAAAAAACATCAGTCTCTGTAAAAACCATAAAATAGCTGAAAAAAACTTTTTGAAACCAAGTAGACAGACTTCGCACTCCTGTTAGGAAGAGCTTTGCTTTGCCATTAAAGAGAAGAAAAGAAAAAAGTGTAGTCTGGCACTTTGATTTTCAAGCAGAAAAAACCTAATAAATTGTTTGCTTTAATATTCACAAACTTCTCACACATTTTGGTTTTCTAATCCAAAAATAACCCTCAATAGATAATCCCTAAGTGCAATTACCCATTTACAAGGTAAGGGGAAACGTTCAGGTAACAAATTAAGAGAAAAGTGATAGGACAAAATTACTTCCCACAGCAAATCTCTGTAATTTATTGAACTATGGATCCATTCCTGACTGTTCAATAAATCATACTGAAAAACTGTTTACAAAAATCACTTTTGTTTTCCATTCTTTTAACTTAGTCTGAGACTATATATTATTCAAGAAAAGCGTGATGATTTTACATATTTCTTAGAAGATGTCTAGACTAGCAAACATTTGCAGCATCTAAAATTATGTTTTCTAACTGGTTTCAAGTGATGATTTGTAGGCCCCAAAGTTTTACTAAAGCAGTTGTTTTAATCTAGTTCTGTAAATGGATTTAAATCAACTGGCCAGCCGCTGGCTGACAGTGCTATCTTTGATCTATCCTTTAAACTTTGATTGTAAAGGAAAATATAGTCTTTTAATATTCACTAACATATTTTTTATTAAATGCAGTTTAAAAACATTCTGAACTACGGAGCTAATGCCACCAGGTCATTATTTCTTTAAGATCTTTGTATTCAGGCTGTATCAATTGCAAAAAAGTGTTTGTCAAAATCTGCTAAGAAACACGTTTGTAAACACAATTTAGTCTTCTGGTGTTATAATGCCTTAGAAATTTAATTTCCCAGTGATTCAGATGTGTGCCATCCTGGCTGGTTCCACCTGGTTTTCCTAAAATCCAGTCACATACTCACTTTGCAGCTTTGCAGCTTTACATTTCACCAGAAGACTTTTCTGCTAGCACAGACAAAAGCACTCAACCCCCCCCAACCTTTATAAGTGAGTTCTCTTTTGCCTTGGAGCTACCTTGTTCATTATAAGAATGATAGATTTCACAAACTAAAGTTGTAAAAATCTTTATGGAAGCATTAAAAAGATCTTGGGCTAATTCATTATTAAAGAAAAGTTCACCTAATGTGCAAAGCAGAAGACAGGTCTTTAACTTCATTTCAGTCCCGAACGAATGGGACCGGTACCATCTGAGCTAGGCAGTATGATTAGTTATCACTAGTTAGACATAAAATCCTTGCGTAACTGAAGTTTTCACTGTCATCTTCTGCAAATGGAAAGATACGCAACACTTTTTTTTGTGTAGAATATTTGTCTCTTGAAATTAATAGTGCATTTTTTTCATTTTCTCCCTTTCATTCAGTACATTATTCTTCTTTGAATAACTAGTTGAATTTGGGAGCAATTTTCTTGATACTGTGCAAAATTGGACAATAGCTGCTAAGCTGCATATAGTATTGTGTTTCTAACAGATCACACTATAATAGAAAGACTCAGAGAAACTCATTTGTAAAATAAATTTGAAAGAGACTTTGTAGACTGTTTATACTGTTCCCTATATAAATGGGGGAAGAAAAAATCTATAAAATCCATAATCTGTTTGCTGTATGCTGGCATTCAAGGATTTAATTTCAAATACCCCTGCACTCAGTTCCAGGGGTGAAAGCCAATCTCTCTTTATCTCACTCAGATCAAACCTTCATTCATTACTCTACTGCAACACAGCTATATAGATTTCAATGCCTTAAGAGCCTTCTGTGGTCACTGAAAAGGAGTCAGTTTTTCTCCTTTATGAAAGGAAGGCTAGCTAACTAAGATGAAAGAAAGGCATATTTTACTTCTCCATCTACTGCAAGCTTTATAGGTCAAAGGTACATGGAGACGTTTGCACGTTGAGATTTGTAATTCTGAAACAAAAGTTTAGCTAAATTGAAATACCTAAGCAATTCTTTTTGCATACCTGAAATACCTAGAAAACTGCCTGCTTTTCTGTTTTCAGTATATTGCAATATCACATTACTAAGAACTGCCGCATGCAGAGCCTAGTCTCTTTTACTATTCTACATACTATTCTCTGTTATGGAAGCAGTATCTCTCTTCGACATGTATAAGGCTTTACAGACTAAAAATGTGATTCTCCACCACCTGACACCTCTGCTGTAATTATTTAAATAGTTCAGAGAATCAGGGAATTAGGCCTGGCGATAAAATTTCAAAAGGCAACTATGTCCAACAATAAAGAAACTGATTCAGAAAGCTTAAATTCAGAAAAGGAATAAAATGTTGATTTAGACTTAAATTGCAGCTATTTCTTAATAAAAACTGTATGCCTGTCTGAGGCTGGAAAATACCAGTTGCTTAGGAGGGACACTGAACAGCACACAAGAGGGAACTTGGGAAAAGAGAACAATTACCTAATGATAACTGATCACTCACTGACCATGAAGTTAGCACACGATTCATTCGCCAAGCAGATGTAGGGGCTAATTTATCAATGCAATGGACTAGTGACCACGTGTGCCCACTCCAGCGGGCATACATGAGTTCTCAAGGTTCTAAGTACAGAGGTCAACAGCTCCCTATCACCTTTTTGAGCTGGCTTATCCAGTATTTTTAAATACCCTTTTTTGTGAGCCGGTTTGAGTACAACTACAATTGTGGTTTAGTTCAGATCTGGATCACGCTTTGGAGGAGCGCTTTGGTTCACATGGTAGAGCTGTCTTGAAATACATGGGCCAGCTTTGTTTTAGTTTAAATCTAACTGGCAGATGTGCTTCGTAAGCAAACCATGAGCTCTCCAGTTGCTGATAGGCAGTTTACAGAACATGATCACAGGTGCTCACTGTCATCTCTAAAATGTTTACAGCTGGGATGCTATATCCTCAGCACTAACAATTTCACTTCCTGACACACTCTAATCGGACTGCACCATTTGCTATTGAAGATGGAAAAACTGTATTAGAATACATAGAGGCGTTCAGTGTATTTGCAGCACAAATAAAAAGGCAAAATAACAAAGATATAATCTTGTCAAACTGACTCTGCCTTCATACCTATGACAAGGATAATTTTTGGTCGAGGTCTTGCAGGATCAAATACATCGTACTCCTCAATTAGTTCAGCAGTTTCAGAGAGATCGGTGTCACTCTCTATGGAAAACTGTTGGATTGGAGGGAGACGGTCATACCGTCGGTACGGGAAGTTCGAATTATCAGGCATCACTGTAAAACAATAAGATAAACAGGGAATTGTGTGGAAATACACAGAAAACTCAAAATCTATTGTGCACACAGATCTAAATAAGTATGATAAACATAAGTATCTCCAAATTTTACAATGTACTCGCTCTTCCTGTAGTAAATATCCCTTGCCTCTATTTAGCTGATTTATTACACTGGAAGCACTAGAACTCAGTTTTCTTTGGTGTTTCTTTACGAGTACATAAGCTTTTCTGTGGAGATCTGCCTGTAGCACCCCAAGTTCAGCAGTGGCTTCTGAGAAGAAAAGCCTTGTATTTTGCCAATAACCTATACTACTAAGCAGAACTCTTCTGGTGATACATGTTGTGCAGAGAGATAGAGACAGTATTCTTGCTAATTATTTTAATGAAATGCTGGATGGCAAGGAAGAATAACTATGGCAACTGAGAGATGAGCTAATTACTCTTTGTTAACATTACAAATAAAATAATTATAGGTAGTGGTATAGCATTTGCTTCGATTTTCTGAGATGCACCTTTTTCTATGAGTTTATCATTTACACTGTACTTAGTAAATTAGCCCATAGCTCCCATATAAACTAGAAAAACAACCTAGTGTAACTGCACTGAAGCAAGTATGTACATCATCAAAAAGAACCGAGATATAAGTCAAGTGCACTGAGTCAACTTTACCCCTATCTTTGCAAATGTTTTAGGGAGGATACGAGAAATCTCTCCACTGCTGTGTTAAACATTCACACTGCAAACATCCATAATTAGGCTGCAAAAGACTACAATTTCCTCTCCTGCATAGCATCCATTATGGAGAAGAAAAGCAAATGCCAAAACTCAAGGAAACAGAATCCTTGAATCCTTTGCCTAAGGAAAATCAGAATGAAGCATGATCTGGTATACAAGTAAGTATAAAATAATTCAGTAGTGGATGTAAAACCACCCACAGTGAAGGCATATAGTAATTTTTACATTTAATACATTACCATTTCTGAAAAAAGACCTCCTGGGTTGTCCTCCATTGAGTGGAGGCAGGGTCTTCTTTTCTGGGCTGACAAAAGTGTCCCATTTCACTTTTTCTGGCCCTCCAAGCTCTTTCACTTTCTGCAAACAGCTTTCCAAATATTCAATTGGGTCGTCAGGTTTGTAACACATTAATCCATTCAACAGGCTCTGCAACGTAAGATCAGAAATACACACTATAATGATAGGTGCCAGGAAAAAACAAGCACTTTGATTTTACCCAGAGAAACCCCATATTCCTCGTACATTCAGACTCCCCATTTCAAGCAAATGTGTGAGAGTGAGGCCTGTTAGTTTGGTTTGGTTTGCCAATGTCACAAGAATGATTCAGACAGGAAGCTCGCACCTTTGTCTTTATATTTGCCTCTTTACACTGTGATCAAACCTGAAAATAGTAAAAAGTGTCCTACATTTTTCTTAGCACTACACCTGGCAAATCTACACATTGGCAATGAACAAGCCAGCCTCAAAAGTTACATCCTCTGTGTCGCCTACTACACCACTGGAACGTATCTTTTCCTTAAAGACCAGTGCACCCACAAGTATCTTATCTGTATTCTTGAGTCAACACTTAATAATGAAAAATCATGAGAAATACTCAAATTTCATCTTGATCAGTACTGGGGGAAAAACCCCAACCCCAAAGTTCATAGGTGCTGCCAGATCTAATTGACAAGACATTCTCAGCCACTAAGAACACCTCTGCCTATGTTATGAATTCTGCACTAGTCACACCTATGAGCATTATCTGGAGTGTGAAAGAAGGAAGGAATGTCAGGCCCTGCTCTGACGCACAGTAATTGATTTTTCTTGACAAAGTGATACATAAGTCATCATCTCACCTCTCCACGAGACAACTGCATCTAACCTCTTAACAATGTCTTTCACGGTGACTTCTGTTCCTTTGCGCTATTACTAAATTTTGTCCAAATAAACTTGAGGGTCACAGTTGGCATTATAATAAATAGCTCCAGTTCAGGATTTCCTCAGTCCCTTGTTATCTACACTTTATACAGTACTTATTACTTACACACATTAAAATTTATAAAATAGGATGTCATTCCTATGCACCTCTGCCCTTACTATGCTACATAACCGATGGCAGCAACTACCCATGTATTTCTGCAGATGTGCACTGATTTTTAAAAACTGCTAGCTCGAGCGTTAAGCCTCTACAGAAAACCAGTTCTGTCTGCGGCTCCCGTTAAACCATTCACATTCTAAACGCTGTAGTAAAACATTAGCATGGTGCATGTCCTGTAATTTTCAAATACATAAGGAGATGTCTAGCTTCAGAACGGAGCAGGGAAGACACGTAAGCGTCTCTGTGTGTGTGTTTTACACAGATGGGAGGATGTCTGCTTAGGAACAAAATAAATCAACACTGCACAGAGAAGTAATTATCAACCATGAGCAGCAGGTAACTTGTCGGAAGCCAGACCAACCCTCACCGAACAGCTGTGCGTTTTTTTTCTTCCTCCAGACTCATGAAAATCTGGAGAAAACCTGGAAGACGCCTCCCGCCCGCATTCCTCGGCGGTCCTTTGCCCTGCGGACACACAAGTTCTCTGCCTCCCCGGGCTCTGGAGGAGGGCAAACAGCAGCGCTGCGCCGGGTGCGGCCGCCCGGCTCCCCGTGCGACCACGGAGGCTCCGTGCAGCAGGCAAGGAGCAGAAGCTCCCCGCCGGCTCCGCGGCCGCAGCCCCCACCCCGGGATCCGCGCTCCCCTGACAGCCCCCCCCGGCCCTCCGCGGCGCGGTTCCTCGCGCAAGGTACGCGCGCCCCAGCCCCTGGCTCCTCCGTCCTTCCAGCCACCTTCAGCCCGCGGCCCGCCGCGGAGTCCCAGCGCGGAGCACCCCCCTCCCGACGGGACGAAAGATGCTCCCCCCCCACCCCGCCGCCTCGCCTACCTCGAAAAGCTGCGGGATCTCCCTGCGGGCCAGATACTCCTTCGCCTCACCGGCGCTCATACCGCCGGCCGGGCACGCGGGGGGCCGGCGGGGCGCGGGTGGGCAGCGCCGAGCTCCGGCACGGCGCGGCGGTGCAATGCGGGAGCCTCGGGAAGGCTTCCGCGGGCGGGCGAGCCGGGGCGGGGAGAGGAGGGAGGCAGAGGCTGCCCGCCTCCCCGTCCCCGCTGCACGGAGGGAGAAGGAGCGCGTTTTCTCCCCGCGGGAAGCAAGAGCGTGCGCAGGCTGCCGGGGAAAGTTTCAGGGTGTGCCGGCGGTGGGGGGCCGAGCCTGGCTGCGAGGCGCGGGCAGGGTGCCCCGGAGTGGAGCGGCCACCCCCCGGGAGGCGCCGGCTGTCTCTGATGCCCTGAAACGCGCCCCGCACGCCGGGAGTGTGTGGCAGCACTGCAGAGAGGGCTGGGCACGGGCGTATGCTGGGGAGGTGGTGGATGCTTCCCCGTTTACAGAGGTCTCTGCCCTTGGCATCGTTTTTTGGCTTCTGGAATAGTGAGGCATTTTGTATGCTTTGGACTGGTAAAAGACCATGAGCTATGATCGCTCCTGAGAATCTATGATCTGTGATCACCGGGTCACAGGATGAGACCTGAAGACATCTCTGGTCCAACCTACTGAGCACAGGGCACTTCTTGAGGTCAGAGGAGGTTGTTCAGAGCTTTTTCTAGTCTCGTCTTGCAGAACCTCCAAGGATGGAGACTGCATCTGGATGGACTCTGGACAACCCACGCTTGGCTGGCTCTTTGGTGAAAAGGGTTTTCTTCCATTCATTTAGCATTGCCCTTGTCTCAGTTTGCTTCTTGCCCACCATTGTGTCGTTGTGAAGAGTTTTGCTCCATCTCCATAATATTTTTCATAAGCTTTAGAGAGCTGCTCTCATGTCCTTTCTAAGCCTGCCACAGCTTGAACAAGCCCAGTTTCCTCAACCTCTTTGCAAGGGCAAGTGCTCTCATCCCTGACCATCTTTGTGGCTCTATCCACACTACTCACTCCAGTTCATTAACATCTCTTTCCCTGGGAATCCCCAAATGGGATGTCTTAGCCTAGATGTGCTCTGCAAGAGTACTAAATGGGGGTAGCTTCTGTGATACTTTGTAGCATACTGGAAGTCTGAGAAGATTTGTTCAGTTTCTTAATTGTCCTATATCAAGTCTGACCATGGAATGGTATGGTTTGGTTTGGAAGGGACCTTAAAGACCACCTAGTTCCAACCCCTCTGCTGTGGGCAGGGACACCTTCCATTAGACCGGGTTGCTCCAAGCCCTGCCCAACCTGGCCTTGATGGGGCAGCCACAGCTTCTCTGGGCAACCTGTGCCAGTGCCTCACCACCCTCCTAGTGGGGATTCCCCCCCCCCCCAATATCTAATATAAATCTCCCCTCTTGATGTTCCAATTAGATTTTAATTTTGTTGAGTATCTTTTCTAACATGACATCCATCTCATTTCACTGATGCACGCCCTGACAAAAATAGGTTACATAAGTGCAAGCCTATGAACAACAGTGAGCAACTGCTTCCCACATCTTGGTATCTTTTGGACACAGGGTAGGTCTTCTCAGGAGTCTTTTAAGAAGCTTCTCCCCCTTGTATGTGAATTGTGGATCAATATCAGTTGGCAAGTTTTTCTCAGCTGCACCTACGTACCTTGTTTTGCTGCTTCTGTAATTAAACTGCTTTCTTTTTGACTCTGCCCTGCCTCCAGCTTTTTATGTAGACACTGTCCTTTCTACTGGAGAGGCTTCCAGTCCTTGTTCATTCCCAGAACTGCTAAATGCTGCCCCAGGGGCAGTCCCATCATCTGACAAATCGAACTGGATGGTTTTCCAAGTCATTGTTACTCCCAGCAGCCTCCACTCAAAGGGCAGCCACTAACACCCTTTTGCAGCAGCCCACTGATAGATGGCCCACTCTCCAATTCACCTAGACTATCTCTGGAAAGCAGTTTGGATTAGGCAGCTTAAGATCCTTTCCAGCCTCACTTTTTATGAATCCAGTGCTGTCTACTTAGGGAAGCTGCAGTAATGTATCACTGAACTGGCCCTTCTCTTATGTTTAAGGCTGACTTTAGTTTTCACTGGAGAGCTTAGCAAGCATTCATTTGCAGTCTTTCTCGTCCTCCCATGAACTCTGGATGTGGCTTTAACTCTACTTTCCCTTTCTAAGATTTTAATACATCCAAATGTAAATTCATTGAAGAGCACAGTATCTTAATTTTGATTGAGTAAAAAATAGAGCAGTCTCTAATGTCCTAATCAAAAGATACAAGATAAAATTGCTTTTAAAAGACTTTAAATCAAGCTTGACAAGAGGAAGACTGAATTAAATAGGTATTTTCTTAAAATAAGATCTTTCCTTAGGAAGACTAATGGAAGATGCCACTCTATTTAGGAAGACAGAGCTGTGGTTTTGGTATTTTGTGGCTTTTTTTTCCTTTTTTTTTTTTTTATTTTGTAAAATAAAATATCATCTGTATTATTACTGACTCAGCCAAATTGCATTTACAGGCTTTCAGCATACATATTTTTTATATGTTCACCATTTAGGGGGTAAATCAGTAGCTCATCCAATGTCCTGGATTGTTAGGGAAAAATATTCCCTTTTACATGCTTTCAATGGCATCTTCCCCAGGAATGTGAAAATATGTTGTGTAAAGTCTTGGCTGATATGTTTGGTTTTTCCTGCAGGCTCTCAGGCATTTTGCTCAGTCAGATAACACTAACAGAAAATACAAAATCTGACTGTTCTGCTATGAAACTGTTCTCATTATGCACATTTAAATTATTGTTTAAAAAAAAAGAGTGATTTTGAGCTCATGTGATTTTTGTTGCACAAAATCAAAATCTACGTTGCAGAAATTACTGCCTCAGAAAAAAGATGGCCATTTAGGAAATCTGTCAGAATGACTGTATGAAGTGTATCTGGAAAGGATTTTTTTTTTTTTTATATCTAATAATATGGCATTTCCTTCTGGAAGTAATTTTTTATGAGTTTGCCTTTGGCAAAATCCCTGTATTGAAACAGGGTCACAGGTGGATGCTTCTCAAAGGCTGTGAAGAACATCAGCAGCAAAGGATTGAGAATATATTAAGTTGGCATGCAAAGCAGGTTGTTTGCCATACTTATTTCAAGTATGCAGGTAAGGTAAAGGCAGCTGTTAGAAGGTTAACTGGTTGTCATTTAACAGTATCTCATCAGGATGGAAATTAAGTAATTTTACAGCTTTGGAAAATAACACAGGATGCAAAAAAAGTCCACATAAGTGAGAACATGGAATTGAATTCCAGAGTACTGCCTGTTTCTGAAGGTACAGCAGCTCTTCATGGTTCTGGCGTGAGACTGAAGGATCAGTTTGGTTGTACTTCTACCACTTCCTATCTCTTCCGGTGAAGAAGCTACAGTTGCAAGAACAAAAATTTGCAATCAAAATGATAACATTTCTGGAAATTCATCTTGAAAACTTTTTATGGATCCTGTACCACTGAGTTGGTTCCGTTCTCATTCTTGTTGGTGCCTCCAGTAACTACATAAAGCTGAACCAATATGGAATTAGTACGGGACCGGCTGGAACATGCTGTTCTGGGCCTTCTTTTCTTGGTTAAACCAATTACCTAACACCCATAGTCTCCCATCAAAGCTAATTAGGTTCTATGTTTTCAAAAATCACTTCAGAATCCCCCAGTATTTTATGAGTCTTCTAGTTTTTTGTCTAGTGCCTGCTCAAGCACTAGTGGCTGGCATTTTTCACAGAAGGTGCTACTCTGCTACCTACATTAAATCAGAACTGATGCCCTTGGATTGATGTGCATTCACATGCTGGTGCAAAGTACATGAACAGTTTGTCGATTCTGTAACAAAAACAATTATCTGTAGCCTTTTTAACAGAATATGCTGAATTACACGCTTCTTATGCAGAAATAATATGCATTTTAGTGTAAATGCAGAACTTATTTGCAGCCCTGTATTTTGCCTAGTGTGGTATGAATTCAGCCAAGACTGCTGCAATGATGTTTTCGTTTTAATGAGAAACCTGTTTCTGAACTCTTTTGCTACAGTGCTGTTAATGCTTTTTTGTTTAAGCTGCTGTTTACCCCCTCCCTTCTTAAACTTTTTTTTTTTTTACTTTTCTACTCGTGTCTACACGTTACTGAAGTGAATTTAATCAAATCACCAATTGCAACATAGTGAAAACTCTGCCTAGAAAAATCTGTTCTCTGGATCTGATTTTCACTGAGTCCCAGAACTGCCACTTGATGTAACTTTTGAGGACATCAGGATGAATAAACCTGGGATGGGATAAAATGTGCTGTTTAAAAGTTTGAGGATGAAACGTTGATTAACATTTCAATGTAAGAAAAAATTATTAAAAAAATGCCATAATCAAGTCACCATTAAGCTTTGTTTTGATAAACTAAATAGCGGTAGCTCTTACTTTCCAGTTACAGTGTAATCATTCTTGTGACCCTTCCTGGAACAATTCCCAATTTATCAACAGGCATTTTAAGCAAAGGCATTAACCAGGACATACTGTTCCAGAAATGGTCACACCAGTGCCAGGTACTGATGTGATTGAGCCGGTATATAACACCCTCATAGTCCTCATTTTGTTGTTTTCATGCTGACAGACCGAGTTTGTTGTGATGGTGTTCACCTTTAGCTGGTTATCTAGCAGACTTTCAGCAGCTCTACTTTCCACTCAGTTTTCTCACATGGATCGTTCTACTCTAGGCTCAACACCTGCTTTTTATTCCTTGATGTATGACTTCATATATTTGCTTGCAGCAAATTTACCAAGAAAGCAGCATGCTCAGTAGCAATGAGCTGTCCCCTCTGTGAGTTGCCACTTCACTAGTCTTTGATCTCTGCCAGTGGTACCAGTGATTTTCTTTCTTTTTTTAATCAATAGTACTGTCATACAGCACACAGCCAAAACACAGCTCCTAAGGGACCAAAACCCAGTATTTTCCATTTACACTTCATTTTTGAGACCACTGAATCATGAAATATATGTGCACTAATTTAGATTCACTCAGCTTTCCTAAACAAAATATCCTGCAGCACTAAATAGATACCACTGGAACAGCACTTTTTAATTCATCAGACAAAACAAACCTTCTTGAACAAGTATCTGTGAATAGATGTGAGAGGATCATAGATTCAGAGAACAGGTTGGATCTATGCTCAAAAAATGGCATTGACTAGAATTAATTAAATTCCATATAAACTATATTCTGGTACATTCTTATCAGTTCTGCTTTTTTCACTAAGTGCCATCTGAGATGGACAGGCCCATAACTCCCTGTGCCAGCACCCTTTAAAAACACCAGTGTAATGTATTCCCAGAATGCAAATATTTCAAGGATTCTTACAGGCCTGGAATGT